CGGCCATAGTTTTCACGAAGCCGTACGTGATACTCGAGAGCGCGGGAACACTGAATTTGAATAGGCAAGGTCGAGCGTGGGCAGAGGGTTATTACCCTAAAATTACAGCTTCGTAGATTCAGTGGTTCCGAGATAATAATTTACCCGCAAGAATTTACGAAATCTTAGGTGATATCAGGAGAGCGCAGAAAGGCTGAATTTAAATTTTTTAGGTCACGCGTGGGCAAGGAACATACCCATAAAATTTCAACTTCCCGGCTTCTGTGGTCCCAGAGATAATAATTTGCCCGCAAAAATTTTCACGAGGCCGTAGGTGAGACCCGAGAGCACGGGAATGCTGAAGTTGAATGGACAAAGTCGAACGCCGGCAGAGGGTCATTACCCTAAAATTTCAGCCTCGTAGACTCCGCGGTTCCCAAGATAATAATTTACCCGCCAAAATTTTCACGGAGCTGTTCGTGTTACCTGCGGGCAGGAGAAAGCTGAATTTAAATTTTCTGGACCGCATGTAGGAAGGGGACATGCCCACAAAATTTCAGCCTTCTATCTTCCTCAGTCCCCGTGAAAATAATTTTATCCGCCAAAAATTTTGCGGGGCCGTACACGTTACCCACCGGCAGGGGAAAGCTGAATTTAAATTTTCTGGGTAGCACATGGGCAGAGGACCTGATCACAAAATTTTAGTCTTCTAGCTTCCATGGTTCCTGCAATAATAATCTTATCTGTCCAAACTTTTACGGGGCCGCACCTGCTACCCGCGAACTGGGAGGCTGAATTTAAATTTGCAGGGTCACACGTGGGTGGGGGACGTCCCCCTAAGTTTCCAGCTTCCTAGCTTCTGTGGTTCCCGAGTTGAAAGTTGTGGACAAGTTGCTGCGGACACACAAACACACACAGACAAACCCGTGACAATATGCGTTTTGTACTGCTGTTGTACAGCAAAAAACGCATAATAACGAAAGTCTTGCAATTTTATGCTTAAGGCAATCGTATATGCATGAGCAAAAGCTCATTTTACGCTTACAAGCTCACAATTCGGCAGCAGACATTCTTACAAAGTTGCGACTCTTGCTCAGTTTGTTTGCCAAGTTAAACGACTCCAAAAAATGTCCAAAACTGGAATTTTACATGCGCTTAGTGCGTGATGTAAACGGGTCGCAAAGCTGAATTTAAAGTCTGTAGGTCGTACGTGGACAGAAGATATCCTCCTCTGATTTCAGTTTCGTTGCTTAATTGGTTTCGAAAACCGATTTTTTGTTATAAGTGCGTTTGACGTGCCCGTATGCTCAAAGCAAAAGTACGCGAAAACTATTTCTGTGTTTTTTGCGGGCAACAGTTGTACAAAACGCATGTTGCCGGGACCACTTCTGCGTGTATTTGTAATCCAGGGGTTTCGGTAGAAAATTATAACAGGAAAAAGTGGAAAAAAGAAGGTAAGGAATGAAAATTAGAAAATTTGTGGGATTATTAAAATGGTAAGAAATGTGTATGACTTAATGGAAATGTATACGACAACTCGAGATCCCCGAAAGCTGGGGAACTGAAATTTTATATCTGCTCGCTTACGTTCGACCCCTCAAATTTAAATTCAGCCTTTGCGTGCCACCGGGCACCACGCATGATCTTGTAAAAGTTTTGGCTAGAAGGATTATTAATCCGGAAACCACGAAAGTGGCGAAGCTGAAATGCTAAGGCAATGTTCCCTGCCCCCAAGGTCCAACAAATTTAAACTAAGCCCTCCCGCGCCCAGGTATAAGCACAGTCCCGAGAAAATTCTGGCGAGAAAATTACTATTTCGCAAAAGCAAGGGGACTGAAATTTTAGGGAACGTCCTTTGCGTATGTGCGGCACCGCAAATTTAAATTCCAGTCTTTCCGCTTGCCTGGGTATACGGCCTTGTGAAAGTTCCGGCGAGGGAAACTACTGTCTCGGGAACCAGTAAAGCTAAGAAACCGAAATTTTAGGAAAATGCCCCTTGCTCATTTACGACACCGAAAATTTAAATCCAGCTTTTCCGATCGCCTGGCGATCACGTGTCGCCCTGTGGAAATTTCGACGAGGAGAATTACTTCTTGAGAGCGAGAAGAGCTGAGAGGCTGAAAACTTCAGGAAGATGTTGTTTTCTGCTTCTGAGGAGGACTAACAGACTCAGACTTACCCCCAAGTACGACGCGGTTCCACATACAACCACAAGGAGTTTTGACACGGGAGTTACCCGGAAGCCAAAAAATTAGGAGGTTGCAATTTTGGAGCAGTGCTTACTGTCCGAGATTTCAAATTCAGCTTTCACGCACCTTTGCGGTCCACATAATGGTGCGTGAAATTTTTAATGGGAAATTTTGCAGACTAGAAGCCAAACAATATATCGACTACTTTTTCACAGACTGAAATGGAATCAGTGAAGAGGCAAATGTTTGCTGGTGAAACTGCGCAAAACGCTTGATCGCTCCGCTTATCTTAATGCGCGCAGCTAATTATTTATATTTGTAACCTTGCACATGAACAGCAGGCGTTTTTGACTTCGTTTGACTCAGAACCTCTCTTTGGCGTAGTTTCTGTTCAAAGCATACGTCATTTCTGCGGGTTTCCTTTAATAAGCAATAATTCTCTATTTCTTGCACAATTTTCTACGACATTTAAATGATGTACACTGAACGGCCATTTGTGTCAGTGTTTCCAAACCGAGTGGCGCATTAACACAGCAAGGAGAGTCGCAATAAATATAACCCAAATTCAGCAGTATTTCATCGAAAAATATTACATCAGTGCCGTATTGGTCAATTTAACTAGAAAACTGAACCTGTTAGGTGCGGGGTATCCAGGATATCAAAAGAGTGGTACGGAACAAGCGAAAAGCAATGGCGTGAAAGGAGTTTCCGGAATGCGCCACTCAATGTTCATACACCGAACACACAACAGCAAACCAAAGAATTCTATTGCTGAGCTGAAAAAAATAAAGAAGCAAACATTATGACATTACTTATACTGGGATCTTGGTGACAGTAGCGATGGACAGACGTTACATGAGGATATATTATAACATTGACGGTGGCAAGCAGACAGCACGGAAGTGTTTGAAGTCTCGCAAAGTGAGTAACAAGGCGATGCGATTCACCCGAAACGAGAACACGCCGGACGCGTAACTAACACTATTTTTAATTTTGTCCGTTAAATTTCATTCGCAGATTTTTCATTAACTATCTTTTCCGCCTTTTTGAAAGCCATCAAAATTGGCATTTCTTTGATGTGAACTGGCTAGAGCAAATAATGCTGGGTAAGACAGAACAGCACCGAATAAAAAAAAACACTAATCACTTTGACATCGAGAACATTTCCTGCGCTCCAGCAACTAAATACTTCATTGAATTAAGATGCTTTCGAGAGAGCAATCAACCGCTTTCCGTTGCAACTTTTGCAATACAAATGTTGATCAAGCGGATAGCACCTATAATTTTTCATTTTCACTACACAACATTAAGCCTAAGCAAAAAAAAATTACACAAATTTTTAAAGAAATCCATACGTGTGATCAGGAGCACGAAAACAATGATTTTAAAGACTGAGCACTGCACAAGGGCGAGAACTTGCACCAGAAAATTCAGTTTCCAAGTTTCGCCAGTTGCTGAATTTAAAGTGGGTGACAAAAATGCGGACACACATACACACACACAGACAACCGCTCATTCGGTGCGCTTTTACGTTTGCATAAATTTGCAAAAACACATAAAAATGCTAGTCTGCTGTTTCGAGACTTTCCAATACAGTTTACTTGGTGCAGTTTTTATGCAACACAAGCTATAAATACTAATCCCATTTGTTCATGTGCTCACACATCGCCCTAAAAATGCTTCAGCTTTTTTGAAAATAATGCACAGTTTCGAAAATCCGACAAACTGCGCTTATAAAAGTAGCTGTAAAATACAGGTTCCTAGATGGACCATTTCCAAGTATATTAGCCATTATCTGCATGCTTCACCAAATCCGAACTGCGCGAAGGGCTTCATTAATCATTGGCGACGCACGCCGTGCGATCACACGTTTTTGCAGTATTTCGTGCTATAATGAGATCACTCGGAAACCCGGTAACTTCCTTGAAGTTTGGGAAGTTAATTTTCTATGCGGTAGTTGGACAGCGAACATTCCCTTAAAATTGCAGCCTCCCAGCTTTCCTGGTTCCCGAGTAAGCCATTTTCCCGCCAAAAAGTTTCATTGGGCCGTACGTGACAACCACACATACCGAGAGGCTGAATTTAATAACTTTAAATCGCACTTGTGCTGGGAACATTCGCTGAAAATTTCAGCCACCCAGCTATCCTGATTTCCCAAGTTAGCAGTTCTCACCAAAAACATTCACGGGGTCGATACTTACATGAGAACCACACACATCTGGGGGCTGAATTTGAAATCTTTGAGTTGGACATGGAATGGGAAAAGCCCTTCAAAGTTACAGCTTTTCAGCTCCCCAGCTTCCCAAATTAGCAATTTTGGTGCCAGGAACCCTCATGGAGCCGTACGCGGGAACCAAACAAACCCCTGGAAGCTGAATTTGAAACCTTTAAGTTCCAGTAGGCGGGGAACACAGACCCATAATTTTAGCCTTCTAGCTTTTCTGGTTCCCGAGTTAACGATTTTCCCACCAAAACTTTCACGCTCTCGTACGCTGGACCCAAACTTGCGTGAGGGTTGATGCCACGGTACTGGCGTGGCAATTGGCCGGGGAACCCGTAAGCAAAATTTTGGCGCCGCAGCTCGCGTCGTTGCCGAATTAAAACACTCGGACAGACGCGCGCACACGCACAAACACACATACACAAACATACACATACAAACACGCACACCATGGGTCATTACAATATGCATTTTTGCAATTCGCACATAAGCAAAACGCATCAAAAGCGTCCAACAAAAAACGCGTACTTGCACCAGGACCTCTGGCGCTTCTTGCAGCAACCACACTGGGATTAAGACAGGTCTGTACGGCAAAATTTAAAATGATGTACTTACCCCTGTCCTTCAATTTTAGAGCTTAGTTGCATGTTGCAATCCTCACACCGATAACAGTTCACGTGGAAGCTTTTGTCCATAGCAACAACCCGCACAGATTCTTTCTCGCCGTCTTCCGGCACAATTGGCTTCGAGCAAACAGCACAGCGAGGAGCGAATTTGCTAAAAAAATTGAAAATCTTTTTTGATTGAAAAAAGTATTTTTTAATTAATTTACATCTATTTTTGCGAATAATGACGGAGAAAACGATTTACAATTCACCCAGAAATTCTTCATTTCGCAAAAACACTCTTGCAAATCATCAGATAGAAACAAATCCAATGTTTCAGCACAAGTGAATGCAGTTTTGGAAAAAAATAGCGATGAAGAAATAACTCTTAAAAGATGTCAATGTGTATATCAAGTCACCTCACACTCCTCTTAATTTTAAAAAATCATTTCAAAAGTATTCCTTCAAGTTTTGCATTCAAAATGGCACTCACAGCAGCAAGTTATTTCAATATCAAGGGTGCCTTTTATACGTGAGTGCAGCTATATTGAACTTCGAGAGGGTATACGGTATTTCGAGCGTTCGAAACCTTGTTAGTTAAAAATAAAATCTTTTTCCTTAAAGTTTTAGCAACGAATGCATTATAGTACATTCTGCTGCTCTTAATTACAATTTTGGCTTTCCAAATGCATGCACAACCCGGAGACAAGTTGCTACGGCATATGCTCAGATTAATTAATTTCAAGAAAAAGATGTTAAGTATATTACAGATATGCCTGCATATTTCTCATTTTTTCAGCAGAGATTTCATACAGTCCGATGGCGAAGGCCCTGAGGACGCTTGACTTAACGCAAATGCTCCTGACTGTTCCATCGGTACTGCTCAGTGACGTAAAAACTAGAAATGGCTCATTTCAGTCTTGCTGATTGCAGTCGTTTACGGAATCTGGACACTGTCAAATGTCAACGTGATCAGCAGGCGCAAGGTTGCTAAAATTTTCCAGAAGGAATTTTTCCTGGTATATTTTATTACAAAATCGCCTACTGCTTTATCATTATTTCTATTAACTCGTTTATCTCTTTCTTACTATTTAATCCGTCACTGATGTTCACAACACCCCTACAGCCCAGCCTGCGAAAAACTATCTCGAGGCAAACTTGGACGATATAGGATCTCTTAGTCGCACGCTCACTCTCTCTCTCGAGACACATGTTTTGAAATGAAAAAACATGTTATGCTTTTCGAAAAGCCTGTGCCTGCTTCTTTAACAATTTCAGTGTATTCTCCGTTAACATTTCGTAGCGCGGCATTTAGGCCGACGCAACTGAATGCTTTTTTGTAATGCATGACAAGGAGTCAGAAAGAGTGTTGATACTTCCGTTCGCGTTTCCGCAGCCAGTTTCGGGTGAAAATGTAGTTCGTTATGCTTCTCTTGATCATTCAGCTGCTTTCACAATAAAGTGCATTTCCAGTCGCTGATTATGCTAAAGGTGGTACATGCTACTCAAGATTAGTTTAGACAATATGTTAGACAATAGACAATATGTTGCTTTTATCTGGCCGCATCGGTAGCCCCGTTTGCATTTGCATCCCGTTGCGGACAGCCACTTATTGCAGTGATGCAAATGAAAATCCATTAGTGCTGGGTGTGCGTCTATGTCTTTAAATAAATCAACACCTGGACCACAAAAACTATGAAGCCCAAATCTTCGGTGTATAATGCTCAACTGCAAAGCACACATCTAAAAACAACTCACATCTCTTTGATATTTCTGAGGTGTGTTCTCTATGAATACAAACTGAGATTTTGAAGAGTTAATCAGCAAAATAATGTATGATCAAACTGATTCGGACCTCAACCCTCACTTTGTCGTGAACTTTGTCCTCAGGGGCAAGGCCAGGAAGGCTGAAAACAAAAAACTTCAATTTTAAAATTGGATGATACGGATCATCAATAAACGAGTCGCAACTCTAACTCTACCCTAAATCGTGCGTTTTTGTGCTTTTTGCGCTATGTAACAGAAGCACAAAGCATATACTGTCAGCTCTTGTCTGTATTTGCTTTTAATCGTCTGTGTGTGTGCGTCCGACTACATACAAAAGCTAGGAAGCTGAAATTTTAGGAGCAAATCCCCTGCTCAGTGCGACCCCACAAATTCAAATTTAACTTTCACGTACGCCTGTGTCTCATGTTTCAAGTGCGGTCACACAAAATTTCAAGCGGGAAAAATTATCTCGGAAACCAGGACAGCCAGGAGGATGAGATTTCAGAACGATATTTTCTGCCTATAAAAGGATTTCGCAAACTCAAATTTAACTCCCATGCACGTATGGCGAAGCGAAAGTTTTGGCGCGAAAACCACTAACTCGGAAGTTAGAACACCAAGATGCTGGAATTTTGGAAGGATGTCCATCGCCCATCTGCGACTCAGATGTTTCAAATTCGGTTTCCACTTGTGTTTACGTTTCATGTACAAACACGCGAAATTTTTAGCGGGGAATTTCGCAGCTTAGGAAAACATGTCGACTGTTTTTGCACCCACCAAAGTGTAAAACAGTGGAAATTCTTAACAGTAAAGTCCACTGGAATGAACCGCGCAAAATGCATGGTCGTGCCAGCTACTTGATACGCGCCGCTATTTGTTTTTTAACATTTAAAAATTTTAAAACTATTGCTTATCCTGGATGATATATAGTACAGTTATTAAGTATGTCCTAGATAATACATAAAACAATTATTATTTATGCATTTACGCTCATCGAGGCGATAGTTACGATTTTTATTACTGACTGTTCGCTTAATGAAGTCAGCGAAAAATCTAAAGCAGTTTTTTTTAGCTCTGCCACTAGAACAGATAAAAAAACAGTAGGCATTCTAAATGCATTGGGGAAATGAATCTGACTGTGGCTTATATTTGGCTAAAAACACAAATGTTTTGCACTCAGAATCCTCGTTACTGGAATGTGGGAAGAATAATGATTTACAGCGCCAATCCCGAAAAAATCATTTCACACGTTTCATCTGACCAATAACAAAAAATATCCTATTTTTCTACGCGATTTCAAACTGGCATTGTGTTAAAACTTCTGCTACCGTTGCTTGTGCTGCTCCAAATTAAGATCCCGATTACAACGAGGGTACAACGTTTTAGAAACTTCGTAAACGCATTCCCACATTTTAACACCCACACAAATTTCATTACACTTTAGTCACAGCTCCCGAAATCACGATTCCCTTCTCTCGCCTTGTTTTTGCCTTCTCCGTCCTTTCACCAACAATTTCATTTACCGCTCAGAGTTTCGATAACAAATTATAGAACAAAAAAATTGCGTGGCTGTACCGAAATTGTACAAAAATTTTGGGTTTTTCAGAAATGGAATTCAGCTTTTCTTTGCCTCTCTCTAGAAAGAGAAGACAATGGTTTCGCCACGACTGAACATACTTCGGAGGCTTTTACATAAAAATCAACTAAAAGAGGGGTTTTGGCCCTCCTGAGTCTTTCTAAAATTTTGTCACAACAGCAGCGGTGACTGTTCTCACAAGAAAAACCTCAGTGCCAGATTTTTTTTATTACCCCTGTCCCTTTCTTCCGTTGTTTAGCTTTGTTACTGGAGCAACTAATTCACTTAATTCCCTTTCGCGTGATGAATGACTGATTTTTGACTTCCTCTGAGTTATGGGTTGCCGTGAGGGCAGCTGTTATTGTTGTTTTCGCTTGGAGAAGAGAGAAAACAGGGGGAAGCAGACTTCATTCCCTCAGTGAATTGCTACTCCCAAGACAAGGAGATTCTTTTAAACAAAACCCTCGACGATAAATACTAAAGCATCTAAAGTTGGACGTAAACAAAACGCCTTGGTCAATATTTGCAACCCGTGCATTTGAATTAAACTAGAGTAATGATCGCGTCAAATCAGGAAAAATTTGATTTGATGGATGAGATGGCAGGTCTAAGCAAAGACATTTACAACAAGTATCGCTCGAACTGTCAATGTGGAAAGGTTAGTACTAGTGAGGTCAACGCATATTCTCATGCCGGGCCATTCAGCCCTCTATACTGTCTCCATCGTGGAATTCACCAATCTTCTGAACGCTTTCTGGTTCATGGATCAATCGCTAGAGCGATTAATAAGAAAATATAATTTTGCAAGAACGAGCAGCAGCTGAAGCATGTAGTATGCAGAAGCTGTGTTTAGATCTGGTACAAATGCATCAGAAATCTCCGATTAGTGCAGGGTGCATCAGCTGCTCACTTCAACTTAATGAATTAATTAGAACTGCAGTAAGGCTGGAAGGCGGCGCCCTTTTGCGATTGGAGGAGCAAGGCAGATTAGATGAAGGTTAGGAAATGAAAGTACCAAAAAGGTTATTAAGTAAACTGGTCATTGAGACAATTCAATTCAATTTTGTTTCTCCTTTCACTCTTTCTTTTGCCTCCGCTTAGAATTTTCTTATATACATATTATTCTTACATGTTGTCTAATACTCTTTACTCTCTTGCAAAAAAGCGAGTTGGCTGAAGTGTGCTAGAAAGTAGTAAACAGGACTGAAGGGCTCTAAATGAGTTAGCAGCCGCTACATTACGTAAAAGCTGTTGAGCATATTTTTCAATGTAAGATTCATTTCAAGTAACGGGGATGTAAGCGTGACTGAAGAAGAGCACTTGCAAGGCTTAATATCAATGAGGGTTTATCCAGCTGAATTTTCCAGGAACAACGATGGCTCACTACCTCCGCTGCTTGCGCCCACTGTATCGAACGAAGATCCGACGTGGTAGCTAGTTGAAAATGACGACAGCAAAGATTCTGGCTTTACTAATAAGTAATGATGATACACAGGAAACAAAGACGATACTAGTGATTTGGAGCTCAAACTGCCCTAAAAGATTGTAGCAGTTTGGAAATGGAGAAACAAATGCGATTTTGTTTCCGATTGCACGGCGACGGCCAGAGATACATTCAGCAAAATTCCATTCCCTTTAGCAAGGTACAACTCAATTTTTAAACGCATTTTGCTTCAAATATTTTTTTTTTCATTTTTTTAATTTTACGAAAAATATATTACTCGTGGAAGCAGGTAACGCAGTGCACACTGTTGCTAGAATCGACCGTAAATGGGACTCCGTCCAAGCATTTCTTACAGACACTGCATACAAAACATGCTGGATGATAAGTACCACCAGATGCACGCAGCAACTTATCCATGATCGGCTCCCCACAACAGCTGCATCGATCTAACGATTTCTGAAATTCAAACAAAAAAAATGCACAAACAGCATGTGAATTATAATATGCTCTCTCACAGCTGAGAGTGATGCAAAGATTGGGGAATTAATGGCGACCACACACTTCATGCACCCGACGCTTTTAAAAGCTCCGCCAATAGGCCATACAGCAACAACCTAGGAAGAATTTTGGCGAAGATTCAACACCTCTAAAGCAAGATGATGGAAACTTATAGCAGATCGTAACATTAGTTAGGAGCAAGAAGTGTGTGGCTTGAAGGCGATTTTACGGTTAAATACGATAGTGCACAACAAAGGCAGAATCCATTTCGCTATTTGTTTTTTGGCTCAATTAATGCGCACAAAATACCAAAACTGCTCACAGTGTCCTGGCCAACTGCAACTACTGCGAGGCCTCCGTCCCGTAACTCCGGGTGCCAACCGAAACTCTAGGACGTTTTAAATGCAGCGACACCTCTCTTCAACTTGGCCGCACAACAGTCGCATTTTTTGTTCTGCTATGAGCTATCAACAACATCAACTTTTAGAATGTGATAGGATTTCGCAGAAATGCTGCGCGAAAATTTTTCTCAACTCATTAAGGGCCTTGCGTTTTCACATATATAGCTGTTTTACACACTCAAAAGATGGATTTAGCAGTAAGATACCCTTTGTACAGTTTATAGCGTCTTTTGACCAATTCATCCGGTATTTGCAAAAATTTAATAAAAAACAGATTTGATTTAAAAGCTATAAGTCAGAAGACGCTGAAAATGAGTGATTTTATACTTTTCATGATACTGAGCAATGGATTAGAACAAAAAACTTTACGGCTGTAATCTCTTCCATGCTGGGGTTATAATTTCAAGACCTTCGCTCCAAACATGGTTCAGACTACGATTCAAACAGTTCAACATTTGTGACTGTCCGAAAGGTTCAGACAAAAAGATATAAAACACAAATGTGCCACAACAGGCATGCAAAAAGCACAGGACATACCACATAATCCTGCTCACACAAAGGTTTCCCGTCCACATTGTAGAATGAACCGCCTGCCAGCTGTTTGTTGCATTCTTTACACGTGAAGCATGCCACATGGTACATCTGGTCCAGCGCGGTGCAGCCAGGGCGTTCATTGCTGATACCCTCGCCACACTTACAGCAGTTGTCTGAAAATCAAGCTTTTAAAGCAAGCCTCGGTGAAAATATTTAAATGCTGAGCAACTTTGAGTAATTTCTTAACCAGTCAAACAAATTCACCTCCAGCAACCACTGTGACACAACTGCAACACACTACAGCCCGATGTGGATAAAACCTAACTGAGTGCAAGTAGTGGGAGACTACTGTTAGTGAGCCGAAGCACAAACCAGCAAGGAAGTCAGCATGGAGCAACTACTGCAAAAGAGTCGTACGGTGTAGTGGTAAGAGAGCCCGAAAATTTTAACGATAAAATAGTTGTTGCAATTGAGACAGGACGTAGGATTTGCATCAAAAATATGCATAGTAGCAGATTTCTATGTATGCTTTCAAAATCGCGCTTCGTCAGGCCGCTAGTGTGCTCGCAAGGTTTGGTTCGTTCTTGTCGTGTGGAAGACCGCGTAAATGATATTTTTGAACGCGATCCTGTCAGTTAAACAGATTTTCCTGGGGGGATCGACATAAACCGGCAAATCAGTTTCCATCTTTTAAAATACATTGTAAATTCAATTTTACTCCAACCAAAAATGAAAATATTTGCTTGCACTTTTATTAAAAAATAATCTATGCTGCCATGATTTTTGAAGTCTTGCTAAAAAATTCTGTCAGCGCAGAAAGCAAAACTCGATGAAATAGCGACGGTCCATATCTAAGAGAAAACATAGCCTTCTGCTTCTAGTTGTCTTTGGCTTCTGTTAACTTCATAAAACCATAGCAACCCCTAGTAAAGCGCAAGATCATAATCATTGGCGACGCGCACCAGGCGAACCGCGCGATCATGCGTTTTTGCAGTATTTCGTACCGTAGTAAGATCGCTTGGAATACCAGTAGCTACAATTTGTAACATGCTGGTCTTTGAAGTTCAGGAAATCAATTGTGCAACTAGGCGGTACTTCGGCAGAGAACATTTCCTAGCTTTTCTGGTTCCCAAATTAGCAATTTTCACGCCTAAAAGTTTCATGAGCTGTACATGAGAACCGTGCACAACTGGGACTGAATTTGAAATCCTTAAGTTATACGTGTGCTGGGAACAATCCCTTAAAATTTCTGCCTCCCAGCTTTTCTGCTTCTCGAGTTAGCGATTTTCCTGCCAAAAATTTCACGCGTTCTTACGCGAGGCCCAGATCTGCATGAGGTTTGTTACAGCAGTCCTGGAGTAGCACCTGGCCAAGAAAACCACTGGCAAAATTTTAGCGCCGAAGCTTGCTTAGTTGGCGAGTTGAAATATTCGGATAGACACACACACACGCCCACGCATACTTACTTACACACACACCAGGATCGCCACAATATGCGTTTTTGCATTCGTATTTATGCAAAAGCGCATAAAAAACTGAAGCCAGTCTAACACCCAGAAGATTTAGCGCGAGAAACAGATCATAAAGTGGGTGTTGTATTTTCTACACAGGCTGTTTTACTTCGTCAGCAGATTTTATTCAATAATATAGGCGTGCCAATAGGATGATTTAGTATGCTGGGCCTTTCACCTCGTAGCATCATCCTGTTTGGTTTTGACTTGATCATGGGTTTTTGCACGATTTCATGCTGTAATAGTGGTCGCTTGTACTACTGAGTGTGATTGCGGTGTCGCAACTTGATCACTTGATGCGACTGTAGGCAGGTTCATCCTACGCTTAGTGATCTGCACATAAGCAGTAAATATACTCACAAAATACCAGGTTAATTGGGTCCTAATAACAGGTCTCGAACTAAACAATCCTTGCGCGCACGCGAGATCTAGGCATTTTTTAAAGCTGAATTCAAAACTAACATAGAAAATTCTCGTAAAGTTCCAACTGCTACGCATGACTGGTGGCGAAGTCGCTTTTTGTTTCTGGTATTCTTGACGTGCCCGCACAAGCATGTACCAAAGCTCATTTTGTGCCTACATTCCTGTCTGCGGAAAACAATATTCCATCAAGTTAAAACGCTCTAATTAGCTTAGTTCCCGAGTTGGCACCTCGCCAACTGTGTCTTAATCCCAATTTTTATGTGTTTTTACAAGTAGCATAGGCGAGTGTTAAAGCTGAATTCTAAATCTTTAACACAATAAGAAAGTAAAACATCCCTGTGAAATTTCAGCTTCTTATCTGGCTAGTGAAATCAATTTTCCACCAAAAATTTGTTTTCTTTTAGGCGTCGACTGGTAAAGCCCAAGCGAACGCAAATGATAATGTTAAAATGGGAAGATCGCACATGGCTTGGGAGAGTGCTTCAAAAGTTTCATTAGCTTCACTGATTGCCGAGTTGAAAGTAAGTGACAAATGCAAACACACACATGCACATATATGATACACAGGCAACCTCTTGGCAAATGCATTCTTGCATTAGCGTAAATATGCACAAACTAATAAGAAGCATGATGCTGGGGCAAAAAAAAATAAAGACTGCTTTCCTTGAAGTTTAGCGTAGCTGAACATTGAGAACCAGAAAAGGCAGCGCCAAGGTCATTGGTTGAAGGAAGCCTTTTTTTCCTGCAGTTTTTAATGCATACAAAATAAATGTGAACGAACGGGTCATGAATCACTGGAAGAAGTAATATTTTTAAAAAACCTCGCAAAACAGCAATCCAATTATCTGTTCAGCCACACGACCGTTCAAATGATGCTCTTGCCTTCCCTCACAATAAAGAGACATTCTCCAAAGAATTGAACATGCATAAAAAACCAAAAAAAAAAAAATTTGCACAGGTTTTCCAGATTTTTGCTCGCAGTTGCTTAACGGAAATATTTAACAACGCAGTGATTGTTCATGTTCATAACGAACACATGCACAAGCAGCTGTAACCGCATATGTCCAAAGTTCTCCCTGTGAATCAAAACATTTAAATCATCCATGAATGAGCACCAATTCAGGCTTAAAATTTCCGAAGGAATACTGAAACCATTACATAACCGAGCATACCGTAGCTTTTTTTTTTGCTCAGTATTAACGAGATGTGCTCCTCATTTGAGGAATGTGATAAACTACGTTATCCTTATTATTGTGCACAGCTGCTGCAACTGTTTACCAAAGTTGACAAAACAAACATCCACATTGGAAAATTGACGACAGCCATCTGTGGCTCGAATGCTATGTTACCAAGGGAGGCCGCAAATCGCAGTTTTTGCAGCTCGTTTCAGGCGACCCTCGCAAGCACAAAAGATCAGTTTTTCATAGAAAGCAACGAATTTCAGACGTTCAGGACTTACTGCTGTTGTGAAGGCATCTAATTAATTTAATTTTGTGAAAATGCATGTGAAAGTAGCACAGAAAAAGTAAAAAATCGAACAGTTTCAAGATGGATAAGTGGCTGATGTGTCACTTGTTGAAAATTTTCAGTTTTTGTTTCCCTCTACATGTTCGACGAAACGCATGGTGCCTTGTTTAACGTACCGATTGAAAATCAAAGACACTACTGTTAAAAAATTCGTTTACTCTTGGACAGAGCGAAATTCTATTCTTTTCATTGTTGCTGTTACAAATACTGAATTTGTCACTAAGAGGGCCAGCACTGCAAACAGACGTACTTGCAGTGCAAATTTTCAAAATGTTTATGCTACTAAATAGTTTCTGAGGGAATAGGCCTTTGTCATCCACGAGCTGTAAACCCACAGACTAATCCTTAACTGCATTGTCTGTTCTAAAGGACATCTCGCAAAGTCACAAGCAGGATCATCCATCCCTCACTCAATGAAAGATGGCTCAGCAGAAACCGCATGAAGCAAGCTCCAAAAATATGTGGGAAGCGGGCTCAGAAATATCGGAAAAAAGTGCTACGATACCCAATTTCAGTTCTGTTCCTTATATGCGCAATTAAGCAGCGCTGTAATCTAGCGCAGAACAAAAATTCAATGCGCTGCTCTTGATTTTGACTCTTTTATGTACTAACTTCTTAGGCCAAAGGTTTTCATCAGAGCCGAAGCAGTACATCTTTGGTGTTACAGTCTAATTATGTGAATGGAAGGAGCAGGAGCAATGAGTAAGCAACAGCTGACAGCACAGTGAAGTCCGCTCCAGAAGTTCCAGATTCGTCCACGAACGAACTTTTCGTTCTAGAGTCCTACAAAGGGAAGTGACTGGACCAGTAACCAAAATGAAGTAGTGCACTCGCTGATTACGACAAAGTATTTACTTCACAGTATTTACTTCAGTGCTTCTATCTAATAAAAGAATACAGTATTCTTGCAGTGCGGCTCATCAAGAAACTTTTATTGGGATCAATGCATTTTATGCACTTTTTGCAGCTACGCAATGCAGAAAACGCATATTGACGAGAGGTAGTCTGTGTGCGTTTGTGTGTCTGTGTGTTCGTCTGTACCGATTTTTCATCTCGAGACCGACAAAACCTACAGGGCTAAAACATTGGGGACATAATCTACATGCACGTACGTCCATCCCCAAAACCTGCGTGGTACCCGCGTAAGAGCCCGTCAAAATTTTTTTAGTGTAAGTTGATAACTCGCGAACCAGGAAAGCTAGAAAGATAAAATTTTAAGGGAATGTACCCCGCCCAAGTATACACTAATGAGCTCAAAACCGACCCCGGGTAAGCGTGGTACCTGTGTACGGGCCCGCCAAAATTTTTCCCGCTTAAATTCATAACTCGGGGATCTGAAATGCTAGAAAGCTGAAATTTTAAGGGGATGTCCCCCATCCAAGTGGGCACTAATGAGCTCAAACCCAACCCCCGGGTAAGCGTGGTACCCGCGTACAGGCCCGTCAAAATTTTTCCTGCGTAAATTCGTAACTCGGGGATTTGAAATGCTAAAAAGCTAAAATTTTAAGGGAATGTTCCCCGTCCAAGTAGGTACTAATGAGCTCAAACTCAACCTCCGGGTAAGAGTAGTACCTGCGTGCGGGGCCGCCAAATTTTTTCCCGGGTAAATTCATAATTCGGGGATCTGAGATTCTAGAAGACTGTAACATTAAGAGGGTGTTTCTCGTCCACATTAGTCTTAACGAGATCAAA